TGGTGCACTTTTTCTAGACGTTTCACTTTAAAATACCATTTCTTGAAGACATTATGAGAATAGCAAAGCCTGAGCAAAGAGTATGGCTTTACCTCCTTCAGAAAACTGAATTATTTCTTTCCTCCAATTCCAGAAAGGTGTGGGAAGTGCTTAGGAGGATTTATAGATAGCAAGTTGAATACTTACAAATATGCTAGATCCCAATAAGGAATTTGGCTTGCCTATAGGGAATTTTCAAAGAAGTGAGCCATACTTTTTGATAGCCCCCTCTTGAGCTCAAGGTTGATTGGGGGATAATGTAAAATGTAAACAAGGCCTTATTTTCTTCTCTAATGCTTCCAAAGTCTTTGAAAAACTATACTAAGCAGATTTCTTCTCTTCTTTAATCTGATCTACATGAAAAGTACAGGATTAAGACTTTTTGGATACCTAAGCCAACATCTCTGCTCTCCGTTGAGTCTCCCTGACACTTTAGAGATGGGTAAGTTTGACAAATGGTTTTCAATAGACATTTCCCTTCCTTTCTTTCTAGAGCTGCCAACCAAAGAGCCTCAAGTTATTTGGATCACATTCAGAGGCCTGGGTATTGAAAACAGCTTCCTAGTCTCTGCACTCAATCATTTTAACATCAAGAAAGATCTCGCTAAAGACAGTAATGAAGACAAGCAGCAGACTGAGACACAGTCTGCTGGACCTTCCCACGTATAAGGTCAGTGCTTCAGAAGGCCTTTATGGGGGAAATCAACTTATTCAACTGTGCTGTAACAGGTGAGATTGTGTTTTTCACTTCTAGTAAAGATTGCTTCCTATAATTCAACATGCAAAAAAAAAAAAATCAGGCTGTATTTTTGTCAAGTTAAAAACCTCTTTCATTTATTGGGGTGATGTTGGTTCATACAATTTATACAGGCTTCAGGTGTATAATTCTACGATACATCATCTATATATTGCATTGTGTGCCTATCACCAATACGATTAACCAATGTCACCCGAATAAATTTAATTAAAAAAACTATTTCAGAAGTTTTGCTTAATTTGCCTTATGTCATATATCCAGGCTATAACATCAAAGTCCTAGTCATTGATAAAAAACAAACTAGTTTTCACTTAAAAAACTGTGAAGGCAGAAGGAATTTGAGACTGAGAAGGAAGCCTTTCAATCCTCTTAGCTCATCCCTCATTACGGCCTCTGAGATTTCACTGAACATTTCATTTGATAGGGACTGTTCTCTCACCAAGATAGAATCTTTGTTCACACATATAACACTTCAGGGAAAGCAGGATACAATTCCCCAAGAATTCTCAGATAAAATTAATTACAACTGTCAGGTCAGACACAGGCTTCACTACCAAGCAAGTTATTGTTTTTATAAGCTTCCAAATGTGCAGACAAATACATAGAGAGCCATTTAGTTATCAAGCATGCTGAATTTTCAAAACCAAAAGAAAGGACTTTCTAATAATACAGCAATGACCCGTGATGATTTGGCTACAGGATACCTTTATAATCAAACGCCGGCGAATAACTCGGGTAGTGACTCTCTGTTCCTCCTCTGAGCTTGAATCACTCTCACTGTTTTTCAAGTCCTGATAAATGTATTTTTAGCATAATTTTACATCATATTTAAAATAAAAGACATTCTGAGAAGGGAAATCAAAAAAGAATTACTTTTACTTGCTGGTTTTCCCTCCTCTAAGGAAAATCATGATGTATATTTGTGAAAATGTTTTTAAAAATTTAGGGGAAAGAAAATTTTGAGCAGGATTCTAAGTGAAACTACTCTGTATGTATGTATTTATGCCTACGTGTATGAATCTAATTACTTTGGTCTTTACCTAAACAATTTTAGAGGCTTTTTGGCACCAGAAAGTACATGCTACTAATTATTAGTTTGAAGAAACATTAATATTAATTTTTAACTAGTTTTAAGTCTATATACATTTGACTTAAATGTATAATCTTATAGTTCAGGCCATTTCAGTTAATCTACAGAAAAAGGCATGGTATTTGATTTTTATGAAATTTTAGTCAGATTTTACAAATTTATAAGAATTTATATAAGCATAATTGGTACCTAGTAAGAGTTTATTCAAATAAATGAAGGAATAATGTAAAACATGTCAAAATATGAAATCTTCTTTAAAGAACTGATATGAATTTAGAATAGAAAAAAACATCTGACAGACAAGATCATGGTATAAACAGAATACAGTGACTAAACAAATGCTAATTTTTAGGCAACAAGGATAGGAATATGAAAAAAACTGCCAAGTGGCAAACAGTTCATATTTCAAAGGGAAAAATACCTTTGACTTCTAATTAAATGTCATAGTGAAAAATATTTACTGAATGATTTTATTGATGGAATTCTGAAATTTTATTTTCTAAGTTTACTAATTACCTCAAATTTGATAGTACTGGAGTTAGAAGTTGTAGTTAGAAAAATCAAAATAAGTAAAATTTTATGGGAGGTATAAGTGCTAGCTAAAATGATTAATGAAACGTTAGTCAAATAGATAATACACTAGGCCATATTCACCAAAGGTAAACTTAACAAATATATAAAAATATAATATCAACCTTGACTTTGTGGGAAAGTTCATGTGAACAAAACATCCTACTGAATAATATATAGTGTCAAATGGAAACAGTTTTTGAGTTTCTTACTTTTTGCAAAGATATTGGTTGCTAAATTTCCTATTACTTATTAAAGTTCATTAGAAAAGGACCATAAATGACCTAATATTATGAAAGAAGGCCCTGCAATAGTTCCAAAAGGCAGAAAGAGGTAAGAGGAATTCATATTGTGAAAGAAAAGAAGTACTAATCAGCATTCAAGGATAAGTAGGTTAGATGAGGCAAAGGGAGAATTCAGTCAGAATTAACCATACATGGAATTGTAAACTGGGGAACAGTTTTCCCTTGGGTAAATTTAAAAGCAGAAGAACAGATACTAATGCAAACACTAGTAACAAATCTAGATGTCAAATTATATCATAATCCTATCAAGCATCATCTAAGACCAGCCCCTCACATAAATAAAAAGTGGCCATTTGGCCAATGTTTTAGTTTCCATTCTCTTCCTGGAGTCTATGCTAATATTAAGATTTAGAGTAACAGAATGTAGTAGTAGGACCTCATCAGGATTCCTTTTAGAGAATTCGCTAGGAATTGGTAAACAGCGTTAACTAAGAGGCCAATGGAATTTTCTTAGTACTCCTTGCCATGGGTTGCTGCATGGAAAGAGGTGGAAAAGAACAGAATTTTACCTTGTAACAGCAGGTAGTCATTCGTGTAAGAGCTGCACCCGGACTTTTGACCTGATTATTTAGGGAACAAAAAGGGGGCTGTTTCTGAAATCATACATCAGATGACCTCTTGGTTGCTATTGTCCTATGGTCTAGTCACAAAAGACCCATCCGAACATCTTTGGATTTCTTGTGAGGTCAGGCTCATATCTACCAGAAGCTTGAACTCCATTATGAATTTTTATGCTCATAAAGCCTTTATGCATTGGAGTAGGACCTGTGACCAACACCAAAGGCATAAACTCATTTATTAAAAATATTGCAAACATTTCCTAATATGATTGTTTTCCATTACTGATGAACTCAGCTGTGATTCCTTCCAGGGTTAAGACTTTATGCCTTCTCCTTGGTTCTCCAATAGCCAATCTGTATGCACATGTACACACAAAGAGGTGCTTATTTATACTTTGATTTCAGTACTTTCTATTGATTTTAATAGGCTTTTGCACAATAAATGTTCATAGTTAAAACACCATAATATTAATGTTTCTAACTGTGGGCTCATTTTAAAAGGGAATATTTTACTCAAAATCATACTGCTTACATAAATTAAGAGTTAACTAAAAGAAATTGATATTCAAAACCCCACTTGTCAGGAAAGAAGTGGAAAAAAGACCTGACAATTTTACTTCCTTTCCCTTTCCTTCTTAACAAGCAGGAAAATGGTCAAAAGATAGTCTGCAGAAGGGAAAAAGGAGAGATATTAGTCAGTAAGCTGACAATTAGCTCCTGAGTGATTGGGAATTTATACATTTTTAAACCTCATATTAATCATGGACTCATTATTTGACAAAAGAAAACTAGATGTTTTAAGGAAAATGAGAAGTGCTACTGTTCCAAAGATGTATAACTCTTAATCTATGTCTACTACATAGTTCATGAAAAGACATAACATTTGAGAATAACAAAAAATCAGCTCTATTTTCTCATATCCATCTTTGAATCATAATTTCAATTTAATTTTTTAAAATATCTAAAAATGATAAAACCTCAATGAATAAAAAACTATTAAGATAGTATCACCAAAACATACAAGTACAAAGAGCAAGCAAATAATTCTGTGGCAGTAGGTTCTAAAATTATTAAAAACAAATTAAGATAATTATCAACTTAGATATAAAAATTATTAAAATGATACTTCTTTAAATTTCTAAATGCTGTCAACCAATAGTGGTATATACACACATCATTTTATGCTTGGGAACTATGTTTCTTCGATTTTTAAAGCACACTTTCAGACACACTTTCAGACAACTGACCTTACAGGGTAGAACTTTTAGATGGGTTGTGTGTTATAAACTTTAAATTATGCAAAAGAGCCAGAAAGGGTCAGAACAATTACCCTCCTTGCATAGGAAAGAAGATCGGATTGGGAGTTAGGAAACTTAAATCCCAGACAAAATAATACTGGACCTTAAGCTGGTTACTTAACATCTCTATAATCTGAAAAATGACCAAAGAGATGGTTATTTCTTTTTCCTACCCTATGAATGATGGACGATATGATCATATAGCTTATGCTTTACTCAGAACTTCCTTTACCCCCAACATTAGTGTTCTAATTTTCGGTCACACATTTATAATTTGGAAATAGTAAAGAACCTTGGGTCAATGCTACAACATTAATCAGAGGAAACGAATAATCAATACCTTCAGTTTAAAGGACAGGATTCTGAATAAAGGCGACGTACCTTTGGCTCAGACCCACTGGACCCCTCTTCTTCGTGGAGGTTAAGCCTTGGCTTGCCATCTGCAGGAGAAGTCCTACTCATCTTTTTCATACCGACAGGCACACAGGGTTTAGGCTCCTCTATTACAAACTTGCTGGTTTCTTCGAGAGATTTCTGATATGCTGCTAGTGATGATGCTGGTTCCTCAACACGACCGTATCCGTGTGGTTTTGGTCTCAGAGCTTCCTTAGTACTCTGTTTGCCTACATCATTTTGGGATTCTGGGAAGTAAGATTTCGTCTTTGCTTCTGGAGTGACTTCTGCATGGTTCCCATTTGCTTCAAATTTCCCAGGTTCTCCTTTGAGATATGAGGTAATGGAATCTCTACATTGGTCTGGGCTGCAAAAGGTAAAACGTAGAAATTTACAGTGGTAACACATGGCTGGAAATGGGTCTAAATTTTTAACAACTATGATTTGAAATACATTTGAAGGCATAAAATAGAAAGGCCTGAGAACTCTGCTCACTGGATTTCAAACTGTGAGGGGCAGTCCTGGGTGTGGGGGTGAGGAGGTGCTACGTAGGCTCTCGGCAGCTCTCAAGCTGGTTAGCTATGCTGTCATTGTTTGTGTTTTGTTTGATTGCACTTCTATAGCCGCTTGAATTCTATATCTTAAAAAGCAATTCTGAGCAGTTCATGGACCGCTCAGAGTTCCAGACCCACTAATTTAAAAGAGGAGGATATCTCAAAATGCTTTTATCCTGCCAGGGAAAAACCTGCTGCTAAGGCACAAAATGAATTCCTGTGATGAGAGCTGTGGCACCCCCTAGAACCCCAAATTCCAGTCTTTGTGTTTCCAATTATGATTCCTGCTACCATGTTTCCAGCTATAATTCTCTTCCTCGCTCCCATCTTTCTATGCCCCTGACCTCTGCTGACACTGACTGGTGCTCATCCACTGCTTTTACTTCCTGTGAGAACTATTTTTCTTTCAACTATTAAAAATCTCTCTCTTCCAGTACTTAAAAAAAGTGATCTCTAATTTTTAGTCATTTCAGTATAGACTTTTTGTAGCTTGTGTATTGTGTTTAGTGCCTTTGCTTATTACCTGTAGACTTCTGAAGGCAATAACTATTGCAATGTTTTATATGTATAACATATTATTATGTATATATATGTAAGTATGTGTGTGTGTACACTTGTAATCAAATTGATTATCTAAACGCAGTTATCAAAAATATCAATAGCACACCCTATTCTGTTTGTGTAAGGACAAACGGTTCCAGCACATTGTGATGATCCTATAACAGCGGTTCTCAACCTGTGGGTCGCGACACCTTTGTGGGTCGAACCACCCTTTCACAGGGGTCACCTAAGACCATCGGAAAACACATATCTAATTACATATTGTTTTTGTGATTAATCACTATGCTTTAATTATGTTCAATTTGTAACAATGAAATTGGGGGTCACCACAACATGAGGAG